TTATTACCGCTTTCCGAATTCAGTACACGAACACCCAGAATGCGCTGTTCCCCTATGCAACTTAGATACTAAATCGTTACAGCGCCAACAGCGGTGGGTAGCAGACGGTCGTTGAATGGGGTAGGCCAAAAGGTCATCAGTTTGCCTTCTCCATGCTGTTTTCACAATGAAAATCGAGCGAACGTTGTAAATACGGATAGAATTTAAATTTTTGTTCGAGTTTACATGCAATCTGCTAATATATTTGTTTATTTTCTGTGCATATACATTTCGTTCGTATTTACTTCTTTCTTTCGTGATCGGAAGACGATTATTAAAAATACAGCTGTAAATTGAAACCACTGTAGTTGCGTATCGTGAGCAATAAGTGGCAACAATGTCGGGCGACAATGAATTCAAGCAATTGACACATTGCCATGAATACACTTGATAACTGCTTGCAGACTTCCAATGGACATTGTTTATGTTTGGACTGTTGAAACAATAGCAAAATAAAGGGTTGGGCAGCTACTCTTTTGTTTAGGCTTGGGAAGAACAATGCAAGCTTTTTACAAATAATTTCAGCTGGATGTACGTTGGTGGGCGGGTGTTGAGAGTTACTGGGCGGCCGTAAAACATGATGGGCGGGCCGCCCGCCTAAAACCCCTTGTGAAGAACACTGCTTTACATAAAGGCCACCATATAGCAATGCTTATTATCAATACAATTTACCTGCATACCCATTTAGCACTAATCTGGTCAAATAATCAAAATAGGTGGTCACTGCATGTTTTAGTATTTCCTTCTGACATTTTCTACTAAATAAAGATAAACAAGCCAATTCATTTTCATTCCCCATTTTCAAATTTCTATTCAAAAATCACCCGCAGTTATAAATGAGAAATTATTGTCATGTTTTCATTCACAAATTATTCAAACTCCATATAAAGTCAACCTGTCTATAACGAAACCTTGAGTGGTCACTATACAGAGGTTTGACTGAAATACAAGAATTCATAGAAATAATGACAATATCTCATTACCTGTTACTTGGTCTTGTTTTGTCGGTGTATGTTTTAACTTTGGCAAAGGTATTTTCATTCCTGAGTTCAAACTGTCCAGCCTTGGAGGTAAGCCACTCTGTACGGCTGCTACTAACTTTAATGCTATGTAAAATTGACTTCGGCCAAAATGACCGGTCCTAGTGGCACCACATGCTTCACTAATCTGTGAAAAGACATGAATGTGTAATAATACCAATCATAATCTTTATTTAATTGACAACAATTAGATCCAGGGAAACTTGCTAGGTCTATTTCGTTGTGTG